TTGGAAATGATGTCAAGCTTAAGGTATCATGCATTAGGTTAATTCCTGATTTTGATGATTCTGAAAAACATTTAAGGAGGACTGTGTCGATCATTTACTACTGAGCCAGTTACACTAGAGGATCTAATGGAATGGTATCATTCTAATCATATTAGGTATTAGGGAAGGGAAGTATCATGTTTGAAAGAACAGCAAATATTCCAGATGGGAAAAAGGGAAAAATAAGGCAGTCTTTGACATTATATATGTCAATAAAAATGAGGACACTCGTGATATTCTGAATGATAATTATTTTTTTTAGACAATGCAGAGCCTAGGAGCAATGATATATTAGAAAAGTAATTTTTGTGTGAATATGCTTCAAATGTTTGACTAGCCAGGTGTAATTCTATATTTTCTCTTTCAGGTTTACAAGAAACACAAGTGACTTAAATGATGGAAAATATTGTGGATTTATAGGAAGTATAGAATATGTTTATTATGCTTCCTGCACTTCCCCAAAACATTCTGTATGTGAAAAGTTAGCTAATCCAGTGAAGATTGAGAGTACACTCATGGATGAAGAACTAGATGGAAGGATATAGTTAGTGTAATTATTTTGCCTTAGATAGCGTCCTCAAGTAAAGGCCGCTTTAAAAAACATACATCTTGTGGACCACACAAATGGAATAAAGATGCTGTGAAACCAAATTTCTGCTTCTTGCCTAACAATTTATATTTTCAAATTTCTTCTTTCTCCTTAGTTTCCAAGTAAAAGAAACCAAAGTCATACCTAAAATGAAATCATATCATTTAGATATAGTCAGATATTATTAAGCATCAACACAGTGATTTGGGTGAGAATACCAAAAAGGAAAGTACTTTTTTCTTGTTTTTCCAGACATAAACAAGGTAAATACCAACCTTATGAAGAATCAGAAAAAAACTGAGTCTGGGAATATATAGAAGTGTAATAAATCATGACCAATTGGGGCTTATTCTAGTAATACAGCCTGATTTACACTTTGAGAAAAAGAGAAAGATAGAAAATGGAATTGTCCAATACTTTCCAAAGCAATTTATAGATTCAATGCAATCCCTATCAAAATACCAATGACCTATTTCACAGATATAGAACAAATTATTTCAAAAACTTATATGGAACCATAAACAACCCAGAATAGCCTGAGTAATTTTCAGAAAGAAGAACAAAGTAGGAGGGAACCCAATACCTGATATCAAACTATTTTGATTATAAGGCCACTGTAACCAAAGTGGTCTGCTACTGCCATAACAACAGACACATAGACCAATGGAACAGAATAGAGAGCCCAGAAATAAGCCCATGTCAACATGGTCAGTTAATGTTTGACAAAGGGGGCAGGGACATAAACTGGAGTAAAAACAACCTTTTTAAAAAATGTTTTTTGGGAGATCTGGACAAGTACATGCGAAAAAATGACACTCGACCACCAACTTACACCATATACCAGAATAAACTCGAGATGGATAAAAAACTTAAATCTAGGTCATGACACCATAAAAGTCCTAGAGGAGAACATAGGCAGGAAAATCTCATATCCCACGCAGCAATATTTTCAATGATACATCCCCTAGGGCACAGGTGGTAAACACAAGGCTCTCAGGTCGAATCTCGCCCTCCATCTTGTTTTATCTTGCCCAGCACCTTGTTTCCACCTGGCGGCAGTGCTGAGTTCCTTGCCTCTAGGTAAGGAGTAGTTACATTTATACAGTCCTAAAATTACAGTTGGCCTTTTTGAAGGCAACTGAGAGGCTGATGTGGCCCCTGGTGAAAATGAGTTTGACGTCCCTGCAAGGGATATAAAGGAAAAAATAAACGAATGGGCCTACATCAAACTAAAAAGTTTCTGCACAGCTAAAGAAAACACCAATAAATGGAAAGGGAACAAGATTTTTTTTTAACAGGACTAAATAAATACCAATAATGAAAAAGATAGAAAAATTAGATTGTATAAATACAAACACTATTAGAGAGTGAAAATGCAAGTCATAACCTTACGTGTCTTTACATGTGCTGAATTTTCAGACACGTGCCAAATTTTTTGATATGTGCTGAATGTTGTATTAATATAACATATACATATCCATAAATATATGTTATGAGCCCATATCCATAGGGCTCATAATAAAGATGTAATTAATGCCTATAAATTAATGATTAAAAATAACTAATTAAAAATGGGTAGAAAGTTAAAGAGGTACTTATCAAGAAGGATATTCAAAGAGCCTAAATACATATAAAAGTTGCTCAATATCACTGTTAATTAGAAAGTAATTGAAAATAAAAATATAGTGGGGTACTCTCCAGAATGAGTAAAATTAAAGTCTGTCAATACTAAAAGTTAGCAAAATGTATAATGCACTGGATTTTCTGTGGTCACACTATTATCAGTATTCTTAAATCCAGGAAACACTTTTCCCAGAATCCCTTGACCTCTTTAGGTACTGGTTAGAATTAGGCAATGAAGAGAACTCATAGAATGACTAGAAGGCAACATGGAAGCAGAAATCATTATTTTCAAAGGGTTGCTCTAGTCAAACAGTATGCAGGTGAAAGCTGAAGTGCCTGGGAGGCCTCAGGTTATCATTTCCTCCGTTGCCACATCCAGTTCTTCTTGCTGGCTTTTTGGCTTGCCAACCCACAGTAACCATAGGTCTATCCACAGTGCAGTCTGGCAGAGACTACTGTATTCTCGTGGGGGAATTTTTAAGGAATTTCATTGTAACCCCATTTTCATTGTAATCCCAATATGTAAAGGAACATATTTTTACTTGGGAATGAATGACCCAAGTTTTGAAATGCTGCATTTTGAAAAGCAAAGCTATTTGCCCTTCAAAAGCTGGCTTTTACCAGCACTAGGCCTGGGGGAAATTGAGCAAAATTCCTAAAACACCTTGAGATCCTCCTCTGCTTGCCTGTACCTGTTGTTTTCCTGTTAGGTTCAGTTACTGAAAGAGCTTTTGTCAGTATTGGCTCTGCATGATGTATGTTCTCAGTGAGTCACCAAGTAAGGGCGTGTATCACTAGACTGATACAGATTCAAACTCGGTGCTGGTGGTTGGTCCGCTCCTCAAATGTCCCAAGGATACCATATCTAGCTGCTGCCTATTGAGTTGCTCCCACACTTTTGTGACGGGGCAGGGTTTTAGGGAGTCATCAACGTCAGGCCAGCAGAGTTTATCAAGCCAAAACAGACCAAATATGATCCTATGAAGGGAGTGCTCTGCACTGCTTGGGCACGCAAGGGTAAAATGACCCCTGTCCTAAAACCATATAACTCAGTCTGTTCCAGATTTTGTCAGGAGCCTGATCTCAGGAGGGATGGGCCGCCAGGATTTGGGAGGATGGGACTAGTAAATCACTTGTGAGTGGGAGGTGCTGGTCTGGCTTGGAGGAATGGTGGGGGAAACGGTCCCTGTGCCAGAGCCACACAACTTAGTCTGTCCTAGATTCTGTCTTGATCTTGGCATGGTGGGGCCACCAGGAGTCAGGAGGAGGGGCCACTGGGATACTTGGGCTAGGGAATCACTTATGAGGGGAAGTTGTCAGTCAGGTTCATGGGAAAGTGAGGCGATGGCCTCTCACCCCAAAACCACACAGCTTAGTCACAGACACACCCTGAATTTTCCCAGACCTCTACACCCCATCCAGGCAGCTGACTCCAAAGAGTGGGACCAGTCCTTTGAACATTTCTATCCTTCTTAGTAGTATCAATATGGCTTCTTTCAGAAATCCTTGGCTGTAACACTTCTCTTGAGGTAGTCTTCAGTTGGTTATTCAGGTTACTTGCTCTATATTTCAGCAGCAATTCCAAATGGGTCTTGACAGGAAGTGAGTGTAACTTCCACCTACTCCAACCTCATCTTGGATTTTTTCTCATTTTATTTGGTTAGGCTCTTCATCTTTTTTTTCTTGATGTGTCTAGTTAAAATGTGATCAATTTTGTTTATCCTTTTAAAGAACAAGCTCTTGGTATATTGATCTTTTTTATTGTTTATTAGACTCAATTTAATTTCTCTCTGCTCTGATCTTTATCATTTCCTTCCTTTTACTCACTTCAGACTGTGTTTGTTTTTCTTTTTCTAGTTCCTCTATGTGTAAGGTTAGATTGTTTACGTGTGATTTTCCTCTGTAAGCCTATTGCACAATGCTTAATCTCTCTTGAAAGTCAATACAGGTGTCTTTATTAATGAGAACATTTAACAGTTTCTTTACACTGAGCAATACTGGGATTATTTATTAATGAATTAATACTTTATCCATTTAGAGATACCAATTGAAGATGTATCATATGGTTGTCAATATGCCAGATAATCAGGACACAGTGAGCATGCTGTCCACTGACTAATCTTGTGCTGGATCACAAGCAGGGCACTCGGTCTCCCTGAATTTCAATTCTGCAATCTTTAAAATAGGTTAATATAAATATATATACTACTTTCCTCCCAAAACTCAAATAATCAGAAACCAGATCCTATCTTGATGAGTGCACTCTAAAGAAAGAACTGCCACTTTAAACTATACCAGCCTTTTTTCTTGTCCATTAATATACTGTTTGTAACTAACTTCTCAGGACTTTCTTTAATTAAAAAAAAATAGGAAGTAAAAAAGGAAAAGAAAAACATTTTGTTCAGAATTAACTCACCTGTGGTTTTCTGGGAGTTAGTAGTGGGTTAAGTACTACGTGAAATTGTAACAGTGTTTTCACAGGCACAATGTGATTAACAATTTCATATATGCAGGAATAAATATACTTGAATTTGTATTTTCACAGGGTAGTCTTGAGTCTGGGTATCTGTATGGTTTTTCCACAAATTAAAAAATATATATTTATGCTTAAAACCCACATTTTTCTCTTAAGATCATTTCTTCAACTTGACGCTTTACTGAAGGAAGTTAGAAAAGGGAGATAAGACGTGTGCAGAAGTAACAGTTCTGTTTTTGACACACTATTTTTTCCTTGTGTTTTACAAAGGCAGTTCACTCAACCTAGTCCCCATATGCACGAATCACCCAACAACAGCAAGAACAACTTCGGGGTGATAGCACAGCGCACAGAGTGATTGAATTGTGCTTTCTTTGTTCAGTAATGTCTGAAGAAGTGACCTATGCTACTCTCCAATTTCCGAATCCTTCTAAGTCAAAGAAACTCCAGGAAAGCTGCAGTCTCAAGAGAACAGGTAAGATCCTCTATGCAGGATCAGACAGATCAAAGACTATTCAGCTATACTACTGGTGGGTCCTCCTGGCTTCAACTCAAGGCTGTTAGACTCTTCTGAGATTCCATTATGGAGTGCTAGTTCATAATAAAGTTGCTATGCCAGACCCTAAATTTATCTATCTTATTTAGTTTGTAAGATCATTATAGAGTATAAAAGAAGACTGTAGTCAAAGCTTCTGGAAATCCAGATTCCTGGTGTCACCACAATAGCATTTCTTGTATTTTTTAGAGATTATAGGCTATTAGGGGAAGGAAAAACAGTAACAGCATGAAAATAATTCTCTAGGGTTTTAATTTAACTGCTAAAAGATATTAAATAGACATATGCTATGAAATTCAAAGGACCATCACACTCTACTCAGTGATGCAAACATTTCTTTCTAAAATGGAATAGACTGAAGCCTCCGTATTCCAACATAATTCCAGTCCACATAATTGCAGTTTGTTGTATCCAACAATTCAACCCCTAGAAAGTTAGATATAACACTGAAACAGTAGGAAGATAACTTTTGAAAACATCAAAATCATATTTACTGAAATATTGTTATTGCAATGAGATATATGGTTTCTTGTGCATTCCTGAGATTATTTTTGTTCTTTATAACTTTTTATTTATATATTTTAATATTTTTGTATGTTTTTAAATTTGTTTTTAAGTCCTTTAGGTTTTAATATAAAATTACATTTATAGATATGTGGAACTTTTAATTTGCTTATTTACCCCAAAGTATTTCATATTCAAATGATGAAGAAAAAGCAGTCCATATAAACAAATCTGATTATAGAATTTTAGGCATCGGGTTAGTAGATTACGTTTTAGAGACAAATTTCCCAAATAGAGTCATCCTTTTTATGATGTTTGATGAAGGATATGTGTGTATAGAGGTATTATATCATTACCATCCAATTAATATCATAGACAACTGATCTCAGGAGGTTATAAAACTGGAGAAGCCATTTATGTTCAGTCACATATTTCCCAATCCTAAACAATTGTTATTAAATTTTTCATAATATTTTTATTGTTTTATTGTTTATTGATCTGGGTAGGTTGCTTGAATTTCACTTTTGTAAAGGGTCACAAAGAGTTTGTGTATTAAGAAAAATATCTGTTATCAAAATCAAGTCAAAAATAGTGGGGATATCTGAATAGTTAGAAAGTAAAAAGAGGACTAGAACAAAGAATGATTTTTAAATTTTTTAAATGTTTTTACATTTTTCTCCCCGTAAAGATAATCATGAAATGCCAGAATTGGAGCTGAATGGTGCAGCTGAAAACAGACCAGAGGCAGCTGAGAGCGCAATTGAGGTGGCAGAGAGCAGAGCCATGAAAGGCAAGAACTATTGGAATAAATAGAGCCACTGGGTCAAAAGGAAATTTAAAAAGAGACATTATGTGAGATGTTGTGGCATAAAAATTAGAGATTACTTTTAAAAGTAAAAGGTAGAAAAATTTTGAGAAATGAAATAAGGAGGGTAAACACAAGGGGATGCACTCATGCCCTATATGGGAAGCCATCTCTTTTTTTATTATTTTCTCCATCTACCCCCAGAGTTTTCATATCCTTTTCTGGATTTTTCTTATTTTTATAACACTAAACAAACCAATTTTTATGATTATGTCCTTTTCTTATATTTTATGGGTGATTTTTCTTAAATTGTCTTTTAATTTTCCCATCAGAAAATATGTTCTTAGTATTATTTTATTTCATCAAATTCTTGTTTTCTAAAGGCTCTTTATAATATTTTATTCTTATGTATATAGAAAAATCTTAACTTCTCTGATAGTTTTTTAAAAATTATATTTTCGAGTCAACCTTATTGAAGTATAATTTAAATACAAAATAATATTCTCATATTTACTGTATAGTTTATTGTACTTAACAAATACATATCTATGTACCACCAAAATTAATATACACCATATATTTGTCACCTTCAAAAGACACTTGTGTGACTTCCAAGCTACCATCATTGCATTATCAACAGTCTTAGCTGCAGATAATCATTGACCTGTTTTCCATCATACTGGACTATTCGGCCGGGTCTAGAATTTAATAAAAATTAATTTGAATAACATATAGTCTTCATGACTATCTTCTTTCATCAGCATAACTCAAATTTTTTTCAAGTATATTTTATTGATTATGCTATTACAGTTGTCCCATTTTCTTTCTCCCCTTTATCCTCCTCCACCCTGTACCCTCTTTCCCTTCAGCATTCCTCCACCCTTAGATCATGTTCATGGGTCATACATATAAGTTCTTTAGGTTCTCCATTTTCTATACTATTCTTAACCTTCCCCCGTCTATTTTGTACCAATTATGCTTCTTATTCCCTGTACCTTTTCCTCCCATTCTCACTCCACCCCCTCCCTGCTGATAACCCTCCATGTAATCTCCATTTCTGTGATTGTGTTCCTGTTTAGTTGTTTACTTAGTTTGTTTTTGTTTTTGTTTTTTTAGGTTTGGTCACTGATATTTGTGAGTTTGTTGTCATTTTACTGTTCAGTTTTGATCTTCTTCTTTTTCAGAGATAAGTCCCTTTAACATTTCATATAATAAGGGCTTGGTGATGATGAACTCCTTTAACTTGATCTTATCTGGGAAGCACGTTATCTGCCCTTCCATTCTAAATGATAATTTTGCTGGATAGAGTAATCTTGGATGTCAGCCCTTGCTTTTCATGACTTTGAATACTTCTTTCCAGCTCCTTCTGTCTGTAAGGTTTCTTCTGAGAAATCAACTGACAGTCTTATAGGAACTCTTTTGAAGGTACCTGTCTCCTTTTATCTTGCTGCTTTTAAAATTGTCTCCTTATCTTTAACTTTGGGTAACTTAATTATGATGTGTCTTGGTGTGTTCCTCCTTGGGTCCAGCTTCTTTGGGACTCTGAGCTTACTGGACTTGCATGTTTATTTCCTTCACCAGATTGGGGAAGTTTTCTTTCATTATATTTTCAAGTAAGATTTCAACTTCTTGGTCTTCCTCTTCTCCTTCTGGCACCCCTATGATTCATTTGTTGGAACATTTAAAGTTGTCCCAGAGGTTCCTAAGCTCTCCTCATTTTTTTTGAATTCTTGTTTCTTCATTCTGTTCCTGCTGAATGTTTATTTTTTCCTTTTGTTTCAAATCATTGATGTGAGTCCTAGTTTCCTTCCCTTCACTGTTGGTTTCCTGTATATTTTTCTTTATTTCACTTTGTGTAGCCTTCACTTCTTCCTTTATTTTATGGCTATACTTAATAATTTCTGTGATCATTCTAATTACCAGTATTTTGAACTCTGCATCTGATAGGTTGGCTATTTCCTCATCACTTAGTTCTATTTCTGAAGTTTTGATCTGTTCTTTTATTTGGGCTGCATTTATTTGTCGTGGTGCACCTGTTGCAATGTAAGGGGCAGAGCTTTAAGTATTCACTATATTTAAAGGACAACCCACTTCACTGTGTTGTGGCGCAGTCTGGATGAATGTTTCTTCTTTAACTCTCTGGTTGTCAGACTTCCATGCAGTTTGATTTTTTGGCAATTCTGGTTGTTTTTGTTTTTAAATTGATTGTTGTCCTTCTTTTGGTTGTGCAAGGAAGCAAAGCATATCTGGCTATGCCTCTGTCTTGGCTGGAAGTCCTCATTAGCATAGTGTTTTTGAAATTCACCCATGTTGTGCAGATTAGTAGCTAATTCCTTTTTTGCTGAGTAGCAGTCCATTGCATGGATACACCACAATATTTATCCATTCACCTGTAGGTAGATGTTTTAGTTGCTTCCAGTTTGGGACTAGTATAAATAAAGCTGCTTTTATGTGCATGTCTTTTTGTAGAAATATTTTTTAGAAATTATATTAGGTAACTATCTACCTAGGAGTAGAATTCTAGATTTGATTGGAGTATGTTTAACTTTATAATAAATTGTCAAAACCATTTTCCACATTTACAATTCCACCAGGAAGTGTATTTACAGAAATTTTGAAATTTCATCATTGTGTTAGCTTTGCTTTTTCTAAATTGCTCATCTGTGTTTTATTTTTCCCTCAGTCTTTCATGTTGTCAGTTTTCTTCAAATATCTGGTGATGTTTGGTTACCTGTAAGAGTGTGATAACAAATCAGTTTTGTTGGTCCCATGTGTACATGTCATTGGCTTATTAAATATAGCCTACATGGACTGGGGCAATTCACTGAAAAACTCCATTGTCAATGTTGGTAGATTTTTTTCACTGTCTTTGGCCAGTTAATTGCTCTGGAGATGAATCCTCCAATATACTGCCCCAGGCAGTCTCCTAGGAGAATGGATGAGAGAGGGTAACTCAGTTTTATGGAATGGAAGAAAAATACTGATAAGGGGAGTCTGCTTGTATCTTACATGGATATTTAGGCACATAAGTGATCAGTTTTCAGATCACTTATACCTCCACATGGAAAGTACCTGATATCATCAATTCCTGGAGCTGTTTTGGGTTCTTAAATGAGAATTATCTTGCTTCTTTTGTTTCTCCTATGCTGACTTTGTTTCAGTTTCTCAGGGCTCACAAAGTTACTAGTCTACCTTCCAAAATTTCATTTCTTTGGTTTTGTTCCTCTTTTTTTAATCATGAATCTATGCCTTCTTTAATCCTCTTTCTACATTTTATTGGAGTTTTTAGAGAAAACCAGGAGAGAAGAATGAGATCTATGTATAACAATTAATTCAAAACTGATCAATCAACATTTCAGTTAACTTAAATGTACTTTTATTCTTCTTTTTTCCTCATTTTCTATTATCAAATACCTCTCCTGAATGGAGCTAGCATAGACAGAGCATTGAAGGTATGTACAGTATATGTCCAAAACTCGAAATTCCAATGAGATGAAGGGGTAGTGGATTTGTTTATTTCTGTGTTAGTTAAGAGATTCCCAGAAAAGAAAAGGGCCTAGTCTCTTGAGATTATTGGACTCCATATAGGAAAAGTGGTGCCAGTCTTCTTGTGTCGTCTCAAGAGGACTTACTTATCTTTCTGGCCTCAGAGGATTAGCATCCAAACTGAACAGGCATGCAGAACCAGTCCTCTGTAATTCTAAATCATAGAGCATGCTAACCTTTGCATCTGAGAAAATACTGGACCGGGTATCATTTTTCATGGATCATAGAATTAACAGCTTGTCATCTGGTATTCCCTTGACACATAGTGAAAGAAATATGTGCTTTCCATCATGCAAAGGTTTAATGGTTCTCAAAGTACTCCAAAGCTTATTGTCAAACACAAGAGTAAATAAAATTAAGACAAAACAATTAAAAATAGCTACTAGTCTTAGGGGACTCAGAGGCCAGAAGAGGAACAAAAAGCCAAAGACTCCAAACAATTCCTGGAAGAGAAAGACAAGCACAATAAGCACCCAACATAATAACATCATTTAAGATATTAAGTTATAGCCTCACAAAAATTTAAACTGAAATAATATGACTTTCACTGTAATAAATTTAGTGGATGAATTGAAAGAAAAAGTAAAGATCCTTAAGGCCCCATGCATATCCTGGAAGATCATATGGAAGAAATTATTCAAAATTAAAGAGATATTAAAATCATGATAGACTTGAGTAATAAAGCCAAGTGATTTAATAGGTAAATACTAAGATTCTGTAAACAGCAAAAATAACAGATATAAACAAGGGAATAATGAAAGGACAATTAGATACCTTCTAATACTAAGTAAAAATGGAGAGAAATTATTACCATTTACTCATCCTAAATTCATCCATTCTAATAAAATAGAAAATCATCATATATTTCAAGTGAGAAACATACTCAAGAAATTTTCTAAACACAGAATTAATAAGGGAAACTTTAGAGGAATGTAAAAAAGTAATAGCTGATGATGGATGACTACAATAAAAATTATAATAGTAAGTGTTAAATTATTTTTGCAATGAAATAAATGTATTCCAAGAGAGAGTTTTTAATAATCTAGGACAAATTTTACAAAATTCTCACATTAAAACCTAAGATCAGGGAGAGAAAGGGTGAGGAAGATATTATAAAAGCTCAGGTTGGGCAGTGGGATTGATAATTATATATAATATTATATTATTGTAACTCAAACTGTAAATTATTAGAGTACTTTGGTGGAGGCAGTAAGGTTGTTGTCTAAGGGCTAGTAACTAATAGAAGAAGAAAGATATACAAGTGGAACTTCTCAAGTACTAAGAAAAAGTAAAAAAAATTAAGTCTGGATTACATCAGGAAAATGCATGTTTAGTAATGATCAAATTTATAATTCATGAACTAAATCTAAAAACCATAAACCCATATACACCAAAAAGATTGAGGTAAATATATAAAACAAAAATTATAAAAGGAGGTTTTATTTGAAGTAAATCTGACTCAGGGCTTTTATATACTACTTTTGTTACTATAGAATACCTAACAAAAATCTGATAAATATGAAATAAGTGATTCAATAATTAAATTATTACACTTACTTAATAGATAAAATACACATATTTTATATAATTGTAAATTCTTCAGATAGTGTATCTTTAGAGCAAAGAGTAATTTACTTTTTAAAAAGCTACTAAATATTGAAATTTTAGAAATTAATAGACCTCTATCTTCCTGATTATAATACAATAAAAGAGCTATAATATTAGAATAATCCAAATAATCTTAAATACTTGGGAAAAGATATATTTCTAATAATATTTTGATTAAAAAACAAAACAAATGAAATTACAGATATTTAAAATGTAACAGGACTTCCAGCAAGATGGAGGCATAGGTGGACGCACCGTACCTCCATGCACAACCAAGATTAGAACAACAACAATTTAGAGGCAGAATAACACTCAGAAGTGATAGAGAATTTATCTGAATGGAAGTTGGACAGCCAAGAAGTTGAAGTAGACCTGTTCATCCAGACCGGTAGGAGGGACAGAGAGGAGGAGCGGGTGCGAGGAGATCAGGGAGAACTGGGCGCATAAGGCAACTGGGAGTGCGTAAGCCTTCTGGGATGCACAAGATTGCAGCGATGGACCCTGAGTTTGCCAATGGCGGCTGGTGGACCCAGTGAGGTGGCATTGTGGACCAGGGTAGAGTGTGCAACCCAGGATCTCAGGGAAGGGACTGAGATCCCAGGAGAGCGGAGCTACCGCCATTGTTCCCTCCCGCCCCTGCCCCCACATACAACGTCACAATCTAGCGACTGGGGTGCCCAGCTCCGATGAACACCTAAGGCTCCGCCCCTCACTGTAACAAGAGTGACCAGACCGGAAAAATAAAAGAGAGAAAGAGAGAGACATGTCTCCAACAGACAAACAGATCAGTCCCCCAGGACTCATCCTTTTGAGCGACCAAGAAATAGCCAATCTATCAGATGCACAGTTCAAAACACTGGTGATCAGGAAGCTTATGGAATTGGTTGATTTTGGGCGCAAATTACATGAAAAAATGCAGGTTACCATAAAAGAGATGAAGGAAAATGCTCGGAGAACCAATAGTGAAGGGAAAGAAACTGGGACTCAAAACATTAGAGTGGACCAGAAGGAAGCAAGAAACAACCAAGCAGGAAAGAATGAAGAAATAAGAATTCAAAAAAAACGAGGAGAAGCTTAGGAACCTCCAGGACATCTTTAAATGTTCCAACATCCGAATTATAGGGGTACCAGAAGGGGAAGAGGAAAAGCAACAGATTGAGCATGTATTTGAACAAATAATAAAGGAGAACTTCCCCATTCTGGCAAAGGAAATCGACTTCCAGGAAATCCAGGAAGCTCAGAGAACCCCAAAGAAGTTGGACCCAAGAAGAAACACACCAAGGCACATCATAATTACATTAGCCAAGGTAAAAATGGAGAGAATCCCAGAAGCAGCAAGAGATAAGGGGACAGTCACCTACAAAGGAGTTCCCATCAGACTACCAGCTGATTTCTCAAAAGAGACCTTACAGGCAAGAAGGGGCTGGAAAGAAATATTCCAAGTCATGAAAGACAAGGACCTACATCCCAGATTGTTCTATCCAGCAAAGCTCTCATTTAGAATGGAAGGGCAGATAAAGTGCTTCTCAGATAAGGTCAAGTTAAAGGAGTTCATCATCACCAAGCCCTTATTTTATGAAATGTTAAAGGGACTTATCTAAGAAAAGAAGATAAAGAAAAAACATGTATAGTAAAAGGACAGCAAACTCACAATTATTAACAACCACACCTAAAGCAAAACCAAAAGAAACTTAGCAAACAACCAGAACAGGAACAGAACCACAGAAATGGGGATCACATGGAGGGTTAGCAACAGGGGAATGGGAGGAGGAGAGAGGGGGAAAAGGTACAGAGAATCAGTAGCATAGAATGTAGGTTGAAAATAGATAGGGGGAGGGTAAGAATAGTATGGGAAATGTAGAAGCTAAAGAACTTATAAGTATGACACATGGACAAGACTAAAGGGGGGGATATGGGTGGGAGAGGGTGTACAGGGTGGAGGGGAATGAAGGGGGAAAATGGGACAACTGTAATAGCATAATCAATAAAATATATTTTAAAAAAGTAACACAAAAATATCTTTTTGAAAACAGCTAACGCTATCAAAGAGAAAGATTTATCACCTCAAATATTTCATTATCAGAGAAGAAAGACTAGCCAAACTTAATAAATATTTTATATATATAAAATATTATATATAATATTTATATATAAATATTACATATATTTATTTATATATATATTTATTATCTTATATATATATTTATTTTTTAATTTTATTTTTATTGTTTATGCTGTTAGAGTTCCTGCTTTCTCTCCCTTTGTCCACTTTCAATCTCCACATTGTTGTCCATGTCCATGGGATGTACATAAATATTCTTTGGTTAATCCTTTCACCATCTTTCATCCCATCTTTCTCCCATCCCCCTACTTCCTGCTGCTGTTTTGTTTGTTAGTATATTGTGTTCATTAGATTCCATGTATAAGTGAAATATGTGGTATTTTTCTTTCACTGAGTGGCTTAATTCACTTACATAATTTTCTGGATGGACCTGGAGAATATATATATATTTTTAAAGACTTTATTTATTTATTTTTAGAGAGGGAAGCGGGGAGAGAGAGAGAGAAACATCAATGTGCGGTTGCTGGGGGTCATGCCCTGCAACCCAGGCATGTACCCTGACTGGGAATGGAACCTGCAACACTTTGGTTTGCAGCCCGTGCTCAATCCACTGAGCTACGCCAGCCAGGGCTGGACCTGGAGAATATTAACACATATTTTAATAAAAGTAAAATAAGAGAGAATCAACAAATTTAAAAGTTTAAGTTAAAAATAGAATAATTTTGAAGACAGAATGTAATCTGAACACTGGTTTCATTTAAAGGAACCCAATACCAAATTAAGGAAAAATGACAAAAGCAAAATTATCAGATATTAGGAATAGTTTAAAGTATACCCATAAACTCGGAGAGAATAAATACATATTACTATAGTCTATGCAAATAATGGCAACAAATTTGAAAATCTAAAGGAAATGGATGATTTCCTAGGAAGCTGATATTAAAGAGAACACCTGAAAAGATCAATCATCAGAGAATGAGCAGGAAATTGGATTAAGTAATACACTTCAATACTAGTGTGGACAAGTAAGGAAGAATATACTGCAGGTGGTCAACACTGATTACATGGAGATGGAAGATAGACCAAGGAAAGCAAGATTAGGAAGATGGGGTAGGGGGAAGACTGATAAATTATAAACCAGGCAGTGTCCATAAAAATACTCAGAATATGACTATTACATTTATGTGAAATTGTGCTTTTAGTGTTAGATGTGAATCTAGAGAATTCACATAAATGGGGACTGCTTGACTTTGCAAATTATTTTTTTCATTAAAATAAAGTAGAGTTAAATGGTCTTATACACAGAGGTGCAGAGGAATTAGGGAAAGAGAGAGTAGCATCAAGGGTGTTTTTCATCTCATTCTTCTGAATTTGTGCTTCCTCATAGGACATTGTAATCCATGGAAAGTGTGGGGCCTTGTGGCTTTCACTGTGCTGATGCTTAATTTAGCAGTGATGGCTGGACTGGGAACCCTGATGTTAATGGGTAAGTTTCCCCTTTTCTCTGAGGCTGTTCCTTCATTTTATCACGTACATCACATTATTTTGATATTGTATTACTTAATATTTTAAGTACTAATGTTTTCTCAAGCTCTTCACACACAGTCTCACTTAATGTTCACCCAAACCATAACCTATAGGTACGTTTTTCCTCAATTTCCAGTTCAGAGTATCCAAAGTACTTTTTAAATTCTGTATGATTAATAAATGATCAGTGGAAAATCTTTGATCATATATGTGTCCTTTTATTTTACACTTTATAGTTGTAATACCCTTTTGCCTTTCATGTTTCTATCTTTTGCTACATTGATCATATTTTTTCTTTTCCTTGAATACTCCCCCAACCTCTGCCATAATTTGTTTCTTTAAATATCCATTAATTATTTATTTGAGAATTAAAAGACTTTTTTAAACACTCCATATTTTGGCATGAGTCTGCCCGAGCCTGGATGCTGGTGGGAAGTGCCCTTCCCCATTCATTCCTTCCCCCAACAGTAAGAAGAAAGGCATCCTGAGGAAATAGAAACTGATTACCACTATAATTGCTAACATTTCTTGAATGCTTATCTTGGTGATTTTTATCTCATTCAATCTTTATAGAACTTAAATTAAAAATTAAAGTTTCTATTAATTTGCAGGGCTGCCAGGTAATTAACATCTATCTATCAAGAAAAGCCAGGTTATGTTGTAATGATTCACAGAATAGATAGCTTATGAAACTTTCTGGATCTTCTGAAGTTCTTTTTTTTTTAAGATTTTGTTTATTTTTAGAGAAAGAGGAAAGGAAGGAGAGAAGGAGAGAAACATTGATGGGTGGTTGCCTCTTGAGTGTCCCATACATGGGACCTGTCCTGCAACCCAGGCATGTATCCTGACTGGGAATTGAACTGGTGACTCTTTGGTTTGTAGGCCAGCACTCAATCCACCGAGCCACACGAAGCAAGGATGAATCTTTTGAAGTTCTTAGAGACATGATCCCTGCCTTTTGATTTTTTTCTTTAATTCTGAGGCATGTGCTTACAAACTCTCCTTAAATTATGGTTATAACTTTTCAAAAAACTCAAATTCACAACACATGGGCTCAGGAATACACTGAATTACACTGTCTTTAATTTTGAAATTTCTGCTTCATGTAGATTTTTTCCATTTTGCATTTAAACTTATCTGGGCATTTCCATAAACAAGGAACTAGTGCACCATTGAGTAATAAATCATTTTTAGCTCAATTAATTTTAATCTTAAAAGTATGTAAGGTTGGTGTTCTACATGCATGTAGCTATCTTTTAATATGTTTTCTATTAAACTGTTAAATAACTACTATAATATTATTATAATTTATTGCAAAATTTTGTGTTAAAGCCTAATCTCTTGCCATGAATTATAGATTACCAAAAACTCTCCTTCAGCAATGGAACAGCACATGACAAGGAACAAAACATAACAGAACAGTTGGAGAAAAGTATAACATTATATCTGGATATGTATAAAAATATCTCAAGTGAGCACATTTCTTTCAAAGAGACGTTAGAAAGCACATTAAAAGAGTTGAAAGAGTATACCTCAAAATGGCATGAGAGAGTAAACCAGACGGACAAAGGTGAGTGAAATCATCTATTTGTTTCATATAGTCTCATCAGTAATTTAGGGTTCTCTAATTTTCTCCAGCCTTTTCACTGGATTCAAAATCTTGAACAATTTCTGAAATTTAAAAAAAAAACATGGAAATATGCTACCCATTTATGAATATGTTACCCATTTATAAAAAACCTTTTTTTGTCTTTCTTGACTAAGTTTCCTTGTATGTTATTTAACCATTACTTTTATCAAACTAATTTCCTTCTCTCTCTCATTAAATTCAGTAAATCTCATTAAAGGGATTCTCTTAAATCCCTTCTTTCTTCTTTTTTTCTTAATTTAAATTCCCATTTTAATGTAATTTTGTTGGGTATATGGGAAATAAGTATTCTGTATATATGCATGTCTGAGAAGGTCTTTATTTTTGGCTGGATAAAAATTTGAAGGTTAAAAATTAATTTCTTTGAGGATATTGAAAAGATTGCATCATTGTCTCTAGCAAATAATGTTTTTAATGTCTGTTCCCAGTGTGATTTTCATTCCATAAAAATGACCTGATTTTAGCTTTTAAATACTTTCTTCACTTTTTAGGAGTTGAAATCTTAGGATGTTCTGGGTATGAGTATTTTTTAATCATTTATTTGGAGTGCCTTTTGTGGGCCTTCTCAATCTGAAAGTTTATGTCAAATTTAGGGAAAATATGTGCTATTACTAATAAATTTATGTTTTCTACTTTTTTTCTTCTTTTGTTTTCATAACATCTCTGCTTAAAATGTTAAAATTTGCAAATTGTCGTCTCTTTTTGGTTTTAGACTATGGGGGATTTTCTAAACTTTATTTATCAATATTTATATTGATTATTATTTTGACAATCATATTTTTTAACCCGATAAAATCTTATGTGATTCTTGAGAGTTGTTTTTTGTAGCATCTTGTTTTTACTTTGGGAATCATCTAAGTATGCTAATTAGAGGAGTCATTTAAAATATGACTCTTGTCTTTCCTATATTTTTCAGGGGGTGAGGATAGATAGGGTTTTTTCTTTTTCTTTTATAATTGGAATTCTCTGTCATGTGCTGGTGCTCTAATATATGTTATAATTCTTGCTTCTCTGTTCACATTTAAGAAAGAAATGAATGGTTGGTTTGGGTTGACACTATTGCTATTAAAACAGGATAGGTTTTCTCTTAGATTTCTCTGGAGATGAGAAATCTACCTGGATATTTTCAGAGTGGAAACCAGGGTGGAATGTATGAACAGAAAACTTCCCAAATGAAGATGGTTATAAAGTGTGGCACTAACAATCATGGCATACACTTAGGCTTTACTAGATTATTCAGTTTCTTCAGGGAGGAACCACATCATTTCCCCTGCTGAAAATCCTATACCATCTCACTAATTTGTCTTCCTTTCACTCTTTACTCTTTCCTTTCTTACCTTCTTTCATTATGAAAAAAAGTGTCAAGCACTTGAGAAGAGACCTTGATAATATACAGTTTTCAGCATAACAGTTCAACAATTCTTCATCTTGAAGATCTTGTGATATGATAGGAAAAGCAGAGGAGTGAACAGATAACTATAACTCAGTGTAAGAAATGCACCTAATCATAAATATATAATGCAAAAAAAATATAGTTGGAATGGATAGTCAAGACTGGATTAGGGTATAATATTCAATGCTGGAAGTGAAAGCATATTAAATAACAGTGATGGGCAATAGCCTGACACTCTCAGGAAAAGTTCAAGGTATTCAAAATATGTGTAGACTGATAAGGAATAAAATTAGAATGACATTAAGGTTCATGGAAATAATGTGGAGGGTTTGGATTTTAACCTGAAAGCAATGGCAGAACACTAAATAATTTAAAGCAACATTACTGGAAATAGCAAAGTGATGAGGTTTCTGTAGAGAATTTAGTATAATAGAGATGGACTAGGGTCTTGTTGCAATGATCTAAACACACTGAAGTTTTCTCTGAGTGCTTTTTATAATCCCTTCATCATTTTTCTTCCTCCGTATCTATAATTCTTCTATCTCAGATTGTTTCAGATCCATATCCCATTTAACTTCATATCATATTCTCTTCCTTCTCTCATATGTTAAACAATCACCTCATTTAACATATGCTTTGTTAATCATTTCAATATATAATGCAGGTGTTTGGAAATTCTGATATATATGCTTACTGATTGTATATCTCTGCATGCATATTGTGCATATGTGTGTAACAGTGTGAAAGACTTTCCTTGTTTGCTTTTCAGACCTCAGATGTTGCTCATGCTCAAAGGCATGCGAATGTCAGAATGAGAGCAAAAGTAATTCCTCCTCCCTGAGATGTGACAGTGAAATATTTGGGAATATAACTCAGGTCTGTGTTATGATTTGTAGTCTGTCCACAGAAATATTTTGGTATTGTTAAGGGTACAGGTAAGACAAATATTAATCCTTGGCTGTTACTAAAAAATGGCCTTTATGCCTTTTATGAGTGACCCCTCCCTCTGAGGGGAGTCATTGGAGAATTCTTATATCACAGGTTCAAATAGCAAGAATATACAATTGTTAGAGTAACCAGTCCATGACACAACAGGTAAGTTATTGAAGTATACACACACACACACACACACACACACATCTGTGGCATTTCTTGTCCCCTGTAATTACTTTTGAGGCATATATTAATAGACATTAGATAAAAACTAAAGCATGGAATTCTCCTCCCTCTTATGGTGATTGTACACTGATGAAAAATTATAGTTTTGACTATAGTCCACTTTGTACAATCATATAAATAATTTGTCTTATTTTTACATGTTACAGCCCTACTTAGCATTATTAAAGTTAAAATACAAAGAAATCAGATAAAGTTACTGCAATGTTCATGATTATTTTGCTGTTACTGTTTTTATTAATATTTGAGTGAAAAAAATGCCAAATTCTTAACTGTGGAATGCTCAAATGCTTACTATCCATCAATATCTAGTTGTTTAATTTGCTGTAATAACATGCTCCAACCCAACTGATCTTGTTATCATAATTAATTTGAATGAGTTTCATGTCTCTGTGATTTTTGCCCTTTATGATTTTATTACCTTATTATTTTGTTCCTTTTGAATTGATTAATCCAACTCAGTTTTCAGGTGTCAATTTTGTTGCTTCTTTGCAAATATTATTGTCAATACAGGGCTTTCTCTTTCATCATTATATTTTTAGTCAATAGCTTTGAATGGGTTCTGCTAGATTTTAGCTTCTTGAAGACAGAAAATGTGTCTTATTCATTATTGTATATCCATTTGTGATACTGAGAATACTTTAAATCTAGCTGAAGTATATACAAGGCTTCTTCACATGTTTGATTTTTAAAAATTGTGGTCTTATTTCTATAAGAAAATGAGTACTTAGAACGTCAAAGGAAAGATTTTTTATTGGTTTAACGCATTATTTTGATAATTTATTAAGGATAGAAACACCTCAATCGAGAAAAAAATTAAAAAATAGTTAAGAAATTGAGAAAAATTAAGAGATAGGATTAACAGTCAAAGGGGGAAATTGGGACAACTGTAATAGAATAACAATAAAAAATTAAAATAGAAAACTTGAAATAAAATTGTTTTAGGCTAAACCTAATTAGGTATGAGGTATGAAGAAAAGAGAGCAGATTATGATAATTTTAAGTTTTCTATCTTGAATTTACACATAAGAAAAAATTATCATCTGGACAAGTACATGCAAAAAATGAGATTAGGCTACCAATTTAAACCACACACAAAAATAAACTCAAGATGGATAAAAGACTTAACTATAAGTCATGACACTGTAAAAGTCTTGGAGGAAAACATAGGCAAAAAAATTCAGATATTTCATGCAGCAATATTTTCACTGATACATCCTCTAGGGCAAGGGATATAAAGGAAAAAAAATAAACAAATGGGACTACATCAAATTAAAAAGCTTCTGCACAGCTAAGAAAAGATCAACAAAGTGGAAAGGGAACCAACCGTATGGGAAAACATATTTGCCAATGATGTCTCAGACAAGTGTTTGATCTCCAAAATATATAAAGAACTCACATGACTCCACACCAGGAAGACAAACAATCCAGCTGAAAAATGCAAAAAGGACCTGAACAGACATTTCTCCAAGGAATACATACAGAGGGTCCAGAGACACATGAAAAAATGCTTAGCATCACTAGGCATTAGAGAGATGCAAATTAAAACCATGAAGAGATACCACTTCACACTGGTCAGAATGGTTATCATTAATAAATCAACAAACAAGTGCTAGCGAGGTTGTAGAGAAAAGGGAACCCTAGTACACTGTTGGTGGGAATGCAGGCTGGTGCAGCCATTGTGGAAAACAGCGGGGAATTTCCTCAAAAAACTAAAGATGGACTGCCTTTCAATCCAGTGATCCCACTGATGGGATTATACCTTAACAATCCTGAATTACCAGTTCAAAAGAACCTATGCAGCCCAATGTTCATAGCAGCACAATTTACAATAGCCAAGTGCTTGTAACAGCCTAAGTGCCCATCAGTAAATGAGTGGATCAAAAAACTCTGGTACATTTACACAATGCAATACTACACAGCAAAAAGAAAAAAAATGCTTATCCCTCATTACAACATGGATGGAACTGGGGAGTATTATGCTAAATGAAATAAACCAAGTGGTGAAAGACAAATACCATATGATCTCATCAATAAGTGGAATGTATCAACAAAACAAACAAATGAGCAAAGTAGAATCAGAGACTTGGAAATAAAGAACAAACTGACAGTGACCAAAGGTGAGGGGAGAGGAGCATAGCAGGGAGAAAGAAGGGGAAGGGTCAAGTCAAGGAACACGTATAAAGGACCTATGGACAAGGACAATGCAAGTGCGGGGATTGACTGTTGGAGTGGGGGGTTATGGAGTAGGGGATAGCAATGGGGAAAAAGGCAGGACAACTGTAACTGAACAACAAGAAATAAAAAAGAAAAAATTATCAAGTATATGTATAGCATTTTTATGTTTGGAACTGATATTGAATGTAAACATTAATATGTCAAATTTATGGTACTTGTGAGAATCATGTGAACATAAAATGCAAGCCTGGGGGTGAATGGGAGATGACAGTAATGGAGAAATTTTTTTAAAACATATCCACCAATGATTTTATTAAACATTAATTACTTATCAAACATTTATCAATGTTTACCATATTTTTGGGAATAACACATGAGTCATCACCATCAAGGGGAATTTGAGCTTGGTAAGGAAGCTTTGGTAAATTAAAAACTATCCAAAATGACTTGGTAAATTGAAAAAAGGAGAAGCCACAGGATAAAAACCTACATATCCACACTATATGTGGGTCAGATAAATAGGAAACTAGCACAACTGTTTAAGAATAAATGATTAAAGAAAAAGGGAGAAAGAACAGAAGCTGATGGGAAAAAAGGAGTTTCAAGAATACTGTAAAAAACAGTGAAAATACCTAAAAAATGTTACATAATGCACAAGTGATGACAAATACTACGTGTTATATGCTTATAATGAGCCACAGACTGGAAAAGTCCTTTCTATCTAATATGTTATTTAGCCTTAAAACAATTTATGATATACCTATCATTAACTCTAAATTTCAGATGAGGAAATTGAAGTTCATAGAGAATAAATAAATTTTCTTAAGGTCACATGAGTAATAAGTACCAGAATGTGGGCTCAAATTATAGTCTACCCATTTTTGAAGCCCAGCATATGACTCAAAATAAAGTGTTAGTTAATTAAAAGATGACTCAGGCAAGAGTGTTATAAATAAAATAATGTGGGTTAAATATTGATAACATTTGATTATTTTCAAACAAATATCTCCTGTGTTTACTAAGGTCTGCAACATAGGCTAAATTCTGGGGATGTAATAATAAGCCCTACCTTTATACATCTTACAGAAGCTTTTATCTAAGGTGAATCAAAACAGTAAATCATGCAAATGGTTATTTTACTCAATAATGGTCTTTCATATATTAAAATGAAAAGTACAGTGCTCAGAGAGAATAGAGATGGCTTTAAATCGGAATGAGGAAGAAGCAGTAAAATAAAGCTTAAACTCCAGATTTTCTCTTTCGAGTCTTTTAAGTTAATGGAAGAGAAGTTATGTTTTATATCACTAAAGAAATGAGAACAGGAGAGCTTTAAAGACATTATTACTTACTTCAGGGTAGGCCCCAATGAAGTGAGAAAGATTGAAGGAGTAGGAGAGAGGTAGTAAGTTGGAAATTTGTGGGGGTACTCATTGGAAAGTCTAGTCTTGAATGAATGGGAACCATTCTGCAGTGAATGCAAAAAAGAAAATTACAACCCCTACAGATGTAGATATGGTGGTATTTGGGGGACTAGGAACTTAGCTCATCTGATACTTTCTGCTTTTGCCTATCATCTGATGAATGTTAAGAGTGCAGTGATATTAAATAGGAAACTTGAAAATAAAGAAAGAAAGTTTTAAAATTTCACTAGGCGAAAGGGGACAAGGAACCAAGAATAAGTGAAATGATTGTTGAGTGGAATTTTGATGATATGAATCCAGTTTTATTGTACTCGAATTAGCTCCCAGAGGTATAAAGGAGCAGTAGCTGATGTTTCTTTTGTATTTAGCTGTTCATTACATGTCTTCAATCACCTGTCTCCTTGAAGGATCTGAATTGTACATCCACCAAGATAGAAAAAGATGGCATGGCAGATAATGTTTCAAAATTATATAATTTGACCTGTGAGTTAATCTGTTCCTTCTATCTTGTCAATAATGAAGGAATGCCTGGTATACTAATTTTGAATGTTTCTCTGACTATCACCTGTGTAAAAGGAGTCCTTGGAATTAAGAACACAGGAGGTAGAAAGTCAGAAGCTTTGCTATATTTCTCTGCCTTTCCTTTCACATTACCATCCCTTGATTTTCTAAGGCACTAAAGTATAAACACAAAATCAAATCACAGTCAAGGGTATTACCCTGTATGATATAAAATAAAGTGCCCCTGTGGAACCAAGAAAACTCTGCTTTGATTCTACTACTTTACATGTTGTATAAAATAATATGTTTACACACTTCATTAAATGAAGATTATGCAAGTATTTTAAGAGAGTTATAATCAGGGTAACCATATGACTTACTGTCCAAACTAGGACACTTTTGAGAGTGAAAGGAGATACTGTTAATAATTACATCAAGACACTGGGCATAAATCAGAAGTGTCCTGGGCAAGCCAAGGTTACTCAGTAACTTCTTAGGTGAAACTGAGAACACAAGGCCAAGAGGGTAGCTCGGGATCCTAGACAGTTGAGGTCTCCTGTGAATTCTCACAGGAGGGTAGAGAATCACCATAGCTATTGTCACTTTGTTTTCTTTTATCAAGGAAAGAATAATATGTTTTGGATATAGCAGATTGGATCTGTGAGGTAACTGTCTCTTTTTTAAAAAAAATAAATAAAGCATACAACTCATTTTTATTTATTTTTTGTTACAGGTTTGGCATCTTTTTAAATGTGTCAAGTGCTGAAACAATGAAGCATGAAGTATTCAATGGAAATGAAGCAATTGAAGCAATGGAAATGGAAAATTGAATGACTCTAGTAGTTAATATTTGTGAAAACAAAGTAGATATGCCACATTTTTAGTCCTAGGTAAACACAAATTTATAGCTTATTATGTTACAAAATATAAATATCACAGGTAAGCTGAAACTATGCAAAAAAAAAAATCTCAGAATCAAAGGAAAAAATTTTATTGTTTTGTGACCTTAAAATCTTTTTCTCAAGACATTAAAACTCTATTACTTTTGATTATAAGTAAATATGGGAATAAAAATAATATTAGTATATTAGAAACATTGAGAATTAAAGTGGTTTATTTTATTTTTTTAAGAGTAGCATGAACAATGGTGCAACTTCTTCTGTGGTCCAACTTACTAAGCAGATTGAATATCCTTTCCATGCCTTAGCAAATTGCCATGCTCTTTTCTAGGCTGGGATCAGCTTTTAACATTTTTATCCTCTGTGGTCTTAAAGACAAGAAATATTTTCAACAGTTCCTTTCATGTGATGTTTTTGGCTGGCATCGTTTCCTCCAGGTGTCTGAGTCTTCTTCATTGCAACTACCTTTCTTATTTATGTCAATACATTTCCTTCATTAAGGTCCTCCGAATGCGTATCAAGACTGAAATGATGGCAGTGTCACCGTTAATCCAGTTAGCGATCCCTTCTTTAATTGTATTTAGATTCTCATTTGCACAGTGTGGTAAAAGTTCCTGCCATACCTCTTTCACTATTACTTCCTGTTAGGATGCTTGAATATTTTCAGTGGTATGCTTGATATTATTTTTTTAATTCAGCTAAAGAAATTGCATGATGTAGAGTCAATAGCCTATCCAAATGTCCTTAAAGAATAAGATTTAGAGTCTGGTGGTAAGAAACATATTTTCACTCTAGGCCCTAAGAGAATCAGTGTGACCTTTTTGTTTTATTTTGTGGAGGCAGCAAAATTAGGCTCCAGAAATTGATTTTGCCTGCCAGCAATTTATTTAGCACAGGTTCACTGTGAGAAATACAATAATTTTATAAGCCAAAACATACAAGGTAATATCTCTTAATAAGCCAAATAAAGAAATAACATACTCCAAACCTATGACAAATTCATCACACTATTGTTTTAGGCAAGGGGAGATGAGAAGAATAAAGTAAAAATTTTGACATGAGGTGTGCCTTTTTGCTCAAGGAGGAGGCACACTTGAGAGAGTCAGGGACTAATCAAGAGCTGACTTGCAGCTTCCTGCACAAAGCAAAAGTTTCGTAGCTAGATCATGTTGTAAGGTAACAGTGACACCAGTGTTAGCAGGCAAGCTGAGATGCTCCAAAGCTTGTCTCTCTTGAGACTTCTGCTTGGTTTCAACACCACTGCCAATGAAGGAGTCATCTTGGCCACAGTAGGAGCAAATATCAAAAGGGCCTTCAGAGAGTTTTTAGGTTAGGAAAGAGTCACCTCTCTCAAATCAAAACTCTCAGATAGTCCTCACACACTTTCAGTGTTTATAGTCTCAATGTACCCTTGACGTAGTTGCTGGCAACCAGCCTCTACCCTCTTAGATGTCCAAAAGTCATCTTATTAATGTGAACTCAGGCAATTGGTTGTAAGGGACTTGTTATGAATAATAAGAAATTCACTTCACCTTTAGGGGCATAAAATATTTCTCCTTTTAGTTCTACCAGTTTTCACTTCTTATAATTTGATGTTACTTTGATAGGTATAGACACTCTTAAATTATTATACCTTACTAGAGAATTGACCACTTTATCATTATGTAATACCCCTCTTTATATCTGATAATTTTTCTTGTTCTTAAGTCTGCTTTGTCTGAAATTAATATAGCTACTTCAGTTTTATTTTGATTGGTGTTAGAATGATGCATCTTTCTCCACCCTTTATATATAACCAGTGTCTTTACAATTAAAGTGTTTTTTTGTAGACAACATATAGTTGTATCTTTTATTAATCCACTCTAAAAAGCTCTGGCTTTTAATTGATGTGCTTAGACCATTCACATTTAAAGTGTTTGTTGATATAGTTGAATTAATATCTGCCATGTTTGTATCTTTTTCTACTCTTTGAACCAGGTGGGTTATTTTCTCTCTCTCTCTCTCTCTCTCTTCCCCCACCCTCCCTCTCTCCCTCCTCCCTTGCCTTCACCTTCTTTGGTTCTATTTGAGCATTTTATATAATTTTATTTCTCTCCTTTCTTAGAATATCTATTACACCTCTTTTTAAAATTCCGTAGTGGCTGCCCTACAGTTTTCAATGGTATATATATGGCTCTGAACATCTATTCTGACTCTGAAAACCTTGTGGGTGTCTAAAAATCTAGCTTTTCCATCATCTGAAAGGCATTCTCATTCACCACCAAAATCTGTGTAAACTCAAATACTCACTGAACATCTCTTTACCTTCTTGCTTTAATTGAAATCCACTTCTCTGTTAGGTTTTCTGCAGCTTTCACAAACATTTGTTGGTGGCTTTTTTCCCCCACATTCCTTGTACAACTAAGCCTGAAAGTTCTTTTTGCTCTTGTTTACAGTTTCCAGAACATCTTTCCTCCCTCCATCTCTAAAAATTTCCAGTGTTTTTAACTGGAACATAATCAACAAAAGAAAAAAGCAAACAAAATACAACCAGAGACACTGAAATTAAGAACAATCTAACAATAGCCAGAGGGGAAGGGGGAGGGGACAATGGTGGGAAGGGTTTTCAGGAACTACTATAAAGGACACATGGACAAAACCAAGGGGGAGGGTGGAAGCAAGGGAGGGAAGTGGGTTTGGCTGTGGGGGGAGGCGTGGTGAGGGGAAAATGCAGACAACCGTAATTGAACAGCAATAAAATAATTTAAAAAGATTCTAGTGTTGACTCCCTTGACTGCAGGCTACTACAGTCACTCCACAACACTGACTATTTCAGTCACCTTCCAACCCTTGATCATATTCCTTATTCCTTGAGGATTTCAGCTCACTGTTAATATCGCTAGCACTAGTACTCTGCTAATGTTTAGTGATCCTTCCGACATTCTAGACACTCAGTTCCTTGACTTCCAGTGATCTTGCATGTTTTCTTACCTATTCTGCTAACCCTTTCGGTCATACTCTAAAATTTTATTATTGTTAATACCTGGAACCCTTCCATAATCTCAATTTGAAGTGACCTATGGTCTAAATTCAGCCTCCTACATTCCCAAATCATGTCCTCCATTATTCTGACTCCAAGAAATGTTGTTGGAGTCAGATCTTATTATCTAATGACCCTTTACCTTCTTCATTGCCATTTGCTTTCCTCATATTCTCACTCTCTTTATTGACCACTTAAATAGTAAACAGTTCTTAATCATCCCCTCAAATATACTTTAACTCCTTTGCTTACTTCCTTATACTGAAAAAACACCAAGAATCACACTGAATCTTAGACTAGCCCACACGTACACCCTTTCAGTTAATAGTGACTAGACAAAGATATATCCACTAATCTCACATAGGCCTTAATGCAGCTCAAAATCTATATTTAATCTCACTAGTGCATTTACTCACAAACTTGCCTAGGGCCAATTTTTCCATACATTTTCCATTCAAAACTCAAACTCTTTATGCCTTATCCTCACTCTCATCTAATAACATTACTTCCTATATTATTGAAAAATAGAAAAAAATAACTTCCACAAAGTCCCACCACCATAGCTGTTAAGCTGCATATATCATTGTCCACATATTGTGCCCTCATTCATACAGTATTACTATGAATAGACTATCCCTGATCTTAACCAAGGTTTCCACATTCTCCCCCTCCTTTATCTACTCAAGGCATCATTATAGCAGCTTTCTTCTCTGTCCTGTATCATCAAATGTCCCTCTTTATTAAATCATTCCCCAGTACATACAAACATGTATGTCTTCTGTGGCTATTGCATCATTTCTTTTCTACCATTTAAAAAAAAAATTCTAGATTTGAGAATACATGCTACCTTTAATTCTTCTTTGGTTATTCTTTCCTCAACTAACATTAACCAAGTTTTCTACCATAACACCAAATTCTTTTCTAATAACTCTGACAGAAACAACAAGAACTGAGGTTAATACAGGCTTCAAGGAGATAAATAGTAGTTGTGCAATATCAAAAAATATGGAGCAAATTCAGTGACTCAAATAAAACTCTAATTGAAGGAGCCTATCAGTGGATGATATAGAATTTCTAAAGTCACTGTCAGGAAAAACAAATATGACCTAGTAAACTTCTTGTTTAGAAATCTCTTTTGTCTCTCAATTACTTAAAAAATTTAGTCCTATCTGTTTGCCATATCATGAATGTCTCTTCAGTCACTATTTCTACATCTATTCTATACTGTTCTGTACTATTCTACTCCATTCTATTATTTTGGTCACATCTAATTTCTTTTTCTAGTATACACATCATGCCCTAGAAATAACCTTTTCACCATTCCTGTCATTTTTGTTGTTATTTTTTGTTGTTGTTGCAAATGGGCCCATCATTGTATAGTGTTAATCCCTCTCTTCTCAATCTTATATAATCCAATTTTCTTAGAGGGGGTAGGAGAAGAAATTCAAAATAAAATCAACTTTATATTTCAATGATTGGATATTAATACATTTCATTAAAATGTAATATAAAAACAGGTGAATTTGTAGTGTGAACTCTATTGGGTTCAGTTTTTAGTACATGAATGTAAACATATAAGTTTAGAGCTCAGAACAGAGAGGATGATAGGAGAAAGAGAAAGAAGAAGAGAAGAATCTGGAGGTATGAATTTTGGGCCATCAATGCATACATTTATTAAATATTTGAGAAAATGTGTTAAGCAGCAATTTTGCAGAAGCCACTTTGAATGCAAAGGTAAGTTATAGCCTCCTTTTAAAGGATGTTAGAATTATTAGAGAAAAATGGGTGCTAGTTAAAATAATGAGTGAAGAATTAGAAAAAAATGGTCAAGAGTGTAAGAGAACACAAGCTATTAAAATTGGGTCGATAAAAATCCATGTATTAGTCAAGGTTCTGCAGAGAAATTGAACCAAGAGGATATAAGAAAATAAGAGATTCATCCTGGCTGGTGTGGCTCAATGGATTGAGTGCCAGCCTGTGAGTCATGGGTCACTGGTTGGATTCCTGGTCAGGGCATGTGCCTGGGTTGTGGGCCATGTTCCCAGTATGAGAACCAACCATACATTGATGTTCTCTCCCTCTCTTTCTCCTTCCCTTCCCTTCTCCATTAAAAAAAAAAAAGAGAGATTTATTATGGGATTGGCATAGATATGCCACAATCTGCCATGTGCAAACTGGAGATCCAGGAAGCCAATATTATAAATCACTTCAGTCCAAATCTGAATACCAAAGAAGTCAATAGTACAATATAAGCCCTAGTCACAGGACAAAGGCTGGTGTTAGTGACAGATTCTGAAGGCCCAAGAATCAGTAGCTCTGATGTGTAATGGCATAAGATGAATGTCCCAGCTCATGAAGAGAGATTTGCCATTCCTCTTGGTCTATTTGGGCCTTCAGCAAATTGGATGAGGCCTGACTGTTGTTGAAGGTGGATTTTCTTTACTCAGTCAACTGATTTAAATGCTAATTTCTTCTGGAAACAACCTCACAGATATATCCAGAAATAATTTTGTATTAGCTATCTGTTCATCCCTTAGCCCAGGCAAAATGATACATAAAATTAACTATCACAATCAGTCTAGGAAAGAATAAGTGATATATTTAGAAAGTCGCATTGTCAAAAGGGAATAAGTGGAAGTAAAGGAAGAAAAAAAACTTGGGTGGAGATGATAATAAGTTAATAGCTGTTTTCAGCAACTTTAACCAAAGTCATAGTAGTGGATAAAATGACACTGAATAACATATTCTAGGAGTCATAATGTGAAACGTACAGGCAATTACATGTTTTCTTATCACAAATATGGAAAACTTTCATTTTAAGAGAATCTTCTTAATGGGTAATTTTTATGTACTTCCTCACCTTTAGATTACTTCTCAATACACTTTAAGAGGACTTTAGTCACACTTAAGAACACTGTTGATCATAAAATTGATAAACAGGCAATTTCCAGTTTCAGAAAATTTCATATTATAGATAACACATGCCTCTGAAATTCTCTCATCTTTAACCTCACTCATGGTGCTCCTATTGCCTCTTTGGCTACTTATCTGCTTCTTCAGGCTTTTCCTTTCCACTGTCATTTCTTGAGGTTCTACATGAGACCTTCTTCTCTTTACATTTGCTGTTTTCTTCATATGCCCAAGTATTAACACTTAACTGAAATGTTGATAATGTCCAAATCATTTTTTCAAGTAGTCCTCTCTCTTAAACTCTAAACGTTTTATCTTCCCAATTGAGCAGCTTTTTTTATTAATTCAAAATAACATCAAACTCAATAAAGACAAGGTTATTATACCAACTTTTAATTTTTCAGTGGAGAAATATGGGAAATATTTCCTACCACAGTTTTACCCCCTCCTACCAAAGTCAAATAATGTCTAATCTAGAAACTTTATTCTATTCTTTTGTATCTTCCACATTCTCCAATTTAGCTCATTCCATGTCCTATGTGGAAATGCCATTTTCTGCATCTCCTCCATTCTAATATCCATTTATTAGGTTTCATTAAAAAAATCAGAAAACATCCAATCCCTAATTCATGTATTTCATTAGATATAACCAAATTTTTAGCACATTTTATAAAGTCTTAATTATGTACTATGACATCATTACATAGAACTTATGACCAATTATATTATGTTATGTGAATGTATATTTTCTAAATACATGATCTCTATACTCAATATATTTATGCCATTTGTATAGTAAACCATCAGTCTGAGATAACCCACAGCCCTGTAACTTTTTTATTTATTCCTTACTTTCCATTCTATATATAATTCTAGTATAAAATAATTTTGGTATCTTCCATTCTT